AAGGGATAGAAGGTCATGAAGGGTGAGTGACTGTGGCTGTTGGTGGGATGAACTGATGTCATCAAACCCCTGGCAGACCCTGATAAAAGGTTTATTTGAAGAGCTGGACTATAGGGAGGCTGGATCCCAACCCTGTGAGAGCGCCACAGGCACAAGTCCGGGGATTTTAGGCAGCACTACCCCATGCACAGCAGACCAGACAAGTCACTCTAGTTTCTGCTCCCATTTAGATGGGGCCCATGATTTGCACAAAAATATGCTGACAGCATTGGGAAACTGCCTGGATGAATTGCAGCCACTTTATATCCTCCTCCCACAATCTCCTGCATGCAAAGTCAGTGCACCATCCCCTCGAACTTGGCTACTCAGAAGAGCTCTATTGTTTTAATAAGACTAGAGCAAGATCCCTGGTGTTTGACAAAGTTATACCGGGATAAAAAGGTTCATGTTAGGATGGCTTATCACAAATGGGTATGGGAAGTTAGTTATGCTGGAGAACAGTACAACTCAGTCTCCACAACAAACATGAAGGGTGGTGGGGGGGGGGGGGGGGGGGGGGGGCAAGTACAAAAAACATAGTGATAAAGCTACTTCGGTGGAAAATCATCTTTAGACCAGGCCTTAACATGTAGCACAAAATCTCAGCTGGGAGAGCAAGAAGTGCTAGAAACTGCTTTTAGATTATTCTCCTTAAAAAAACCAAACACCACACAGGATTTTTGTTTGATGGTTGCCTTCTGAATTCAGGGGCATATCAGATCCTTATTACTGAAAAAGGAAATAAAGAGTTTCTATGTGGAGTAACAAGTTCCTGGACTTTGTTCTTGAATCTGTGCCCCTCATGTGCTACAAGATCAAAGCGATCTTTTTCCTGTGAGTTATATCATAGAATCAGAGAATGGTTTGGGTTGGAAGGGACCTTAAAGATCATCCAGTTCCAACCCCCTCTGCCATGGGCAGGGACACTTTCCACTAGATAAGGTCACTCAAACCCCCATCCAGCCTGGCCTTGAACACTTCCAGGGAGGGGGCATCCACAACTTCTCTGGGCAACCTGTTCCAGTGCCTCACCACCTTCATCGTGAAGAATCATTATCATTTGCCCAAGATATTTATTGCCATTCCACAAACACAATTTCAGCAAAGGTAAGTTACATTAGCCTCGTCTGCCCCTTCTTAGTGCGTACATAAGTGCCACCTTCTGGCCACAACAGGGACTGTAAGAGAAGTGGTAAAATAAAAAAAAAACGAGTTTTAAATCTAAGGAGTAAAGCCTGTGAAGAATTATTTGCTCTAGAGATAGTAGGGGACAAAAACCAAGTGCCTACAGATTTAATGTGAAGAAATTTCAGCTGGAAGGTGAAAGCTTCTTCCTAAAGTTCAGAGCCACCACATTTGCAAACATCCTTCTTACGTTGGTAGAGTGGGGAAGGATAGACACAAAGCTCTGCTTTTAAATGCATCTTAATCAGATAATGCCATTCACCTCAGTTGGAAGCAGCTGCAGTCAGTGGCCCAGAAAGTCCTTCTTATCCTGTGTTCCCAAGATCAACATGCTGAAACCTGAAAGGCTAAATAGATGCCACAAATGAGGATTGTGCCACTGGTACTTCTCAATAGTACCAAGGAAAAGTGTTCAAATGCCTCTTAGGGCACTTTAGTAGTATTTCAGAGAACCTGACACTTGTCATCCCTGTGCTGTGTTGCTGGGCTGCAGCAGCCACACAGAACCCTACTGAAAAAATGCACCTGAATCATGTGAGTCTCAGCAATCTGTCCATGCATCTCCCATGAAGACTGAGACACCTACCTATTGCCACATTTTATAAACTTAGGCCTAAGAATTGCTGTCTCTTGCATAGGATTTCTTTCTCCTCCCTCAAGTATAAGCCAACTTGAAATTTTTACCAGTATATTGAAAAACCTAAAATGCTTAAAAGTTGATTTGTTACATATTCCTTCTTAGTCTTAAATACTTCGTGATTACATCCCACAGTAAATCAAGTATCACTGCTGGTACCCATAATTTTATTGTACCCCATGACGCTTAGCTGCCTTAAAATCCCATCTTCTGAAGTAGTGACTACACGATGACTACACAAACATCTTGATGTTAAAAAAACCCTTAACTTTCTCATCAGCATGAGGAAGAAACACCAAAAAAGCCAACTTCCAAAAGCTAGAAAGCAAATAATTACAAAACACAAGTCTACTGTTCTCAGTGATTTTTAAGTCTCACTCATTACAGGGGAGGAAAAAAGGACTGAACATGTTTTTTGAATGCCTGACAGAGACAATATAAAACAAGGCATTTTAACACAGCTTCAACAGAATGGGTTTCTGTAAACACAGATTATACAATATACTGCAAACAGATTACACACAAATAGAAATCACTTTAAAATCCAGAACCGCTTTTGCCCTAGATAGTATCGGGAGGGAAGAAGAGAGGTTAAAAGGAACAATAAGGAGCTATTTATTGTTTCTGTGCAAGATGTTTGGCACAAACTCTTTTGAGATCTAAAGTGAGCTTGATGGGTTTCGTGACAATCACGAAGGACAAAGCCCCCAGTGCTTCTGACTAAAAAACGCCAGTACAGAGTAAAGGAACAGAGTACAAAGTGCAGAGTAAAGGAACTGAGGCCTGCAATAACATATCGCCCAAACCCACTGAAACCTGTGGAAGATTTATCTCAGTGAACTTCAGAAGCACAGAACTTAAATAAGGACATCAAGGTTTGATCTTATGTGGAACTGATTTTGCAAAATAGGTATCAGTGCTAGAAGAGGTGAATGTTCCCAGGTTTTACTCACAAGAAACACAGTAAGCTGAAAGCTGATTTCATAAAGACAGCATTTTCTGCTTCTGTTGACTGTGTAATCTGATTTTTCTTCTCCTAAATAAACAAGCAAACACAGAAAACAACACAATTCCTAACCAGTTGGGACACAAACAGTTTTTTTGCTTCTTCTCACCTCACTTATGGAGGCCGTGGGAAAAACCCTTTGACAGCAAATTTCATTTAATCCAAAATTAAATACTTTGTTTTAAAATACCTAACGAGAAAGGGGATAAAGAATTAGGACCACAAAGTTACCAGAAAGAGGCAGAGGTTTTATGAAACTGAACAGTTTCACACTTCTAAAATTTTTATTGCTATTGGCTTACACACATGCCTAGAAATTAACTCAAATTCAGAACAGTGGCTGCCTTAGAATTGCAGGCTTTTTTCCAAATAAATGATTCACTAAAAAGTGTAATTTGTGATTCCTAATTAAAAAACAACTTGCTTCCTGTTGTGCAGGTTTTCTAAAGCACTGAATAATTTTAATGTGACAAAGCGAACACATTTGTTAGTTGTTCTTATAAACCCCATATTGTGCTAAACAGACTATTAACCATCAGATATAATATTATTTCTGTATGTTTCCTTGCCCTGTGTCCTAAACTCCATATGTTCACATCATTTCTTAAGCCACAGTTAAACACTGTATTTTTCAAAATAATTAATTAGTCTGTTTAATGGCTGTTAGCTCTCAGCAGTCTCTGTGCCTCTGATGGACAGCAGGAACAGCAGTACCACAGTATTACCAGAGAAGCAAGTAATTTCTGACATACCTTCATCTTCAGTCTTGCACCTACAGTAAAACCTTGTCCAGTCTCATAATCTTGACAGCCTCCACATCAGACCAGAAGAGGCTGGTGAGATTAACTATGGAGGAGCAAAGTGGGAAGTCTGTTCTCATGTGTCTACTGGCAAAAGCAAGTCTAGATTGCACAGAAAACCTAAACAGCGGTTTGTCTTCTACCAAGTTAATATTCTATTCCATAAGCTTTCAAATGCAAAACCTCCATTCACTTAATAAGGAGTTGCATAGTGAGCTCATTATTATTATCTTGCTGTATGATCTGGAATCTCTGTAAATACTGGGGTAATATTCCAGATCCACTGGAGGCAGGGGATTAGTGGGCAGTCCCATTTCCATACAGTTATCCAAGATATTTTGTTAAAGGCAGAGGTTTCCTCCTGTCCGCAAAATTTTAAAATAAATGGTTACACTAAGCATCAGATATAGACAAGCCACACCCTCAGTGGTTAGATATCCATCAACAGCAGTTTTAGATATTGTCTCATCAGCAGTAGAAAAAAAACAAGTATTTTAACACTAAAGCCAAGTCTACAGTAGTAAAATTATGGCAGAGCATAAAAATCTAAATGCTCACAACAGACAAAATCCATAAAATCCCACTGCTCCAACTGCCTCAATAAGTGGTTCAAAAGTAAAACACTTCTTTCTGGCCAGGGGGTTATACCATGCTCAAATCTTGGCATTCACCAAGAATACAAGAGAAAGCCCCACAGCTAGAGTATCTTACACGTGAACACCAGATGCAGCTGTCTGCATGAGAGGGCTGCCTGCAGAATCACCTTATTTTACTTTGGTCACTTATATCACTCCAACAGTGCAAATGAAGAGTCAACCTCCCAGGTTACCAGCTGTTAAACTTTACATGGTTTTCTAGGTTAGAACCCAGGACCTTAAGCTATACCTGCATACTTACGGTGGAACTTAAAAATCAAATTGAAAGCTAGCTCCAAAGCTTCTGCACACTGATTCACTCCACTAAGCAGGCAGGCAGGCAAAATGTTCCCTGTCCTATGAAGTTTCCAAAAGGTTTTCAAAGCCCAGTTCCACTACAGTCTGCCTGTCAGTAATACTTGAGTTTACAAACAGTAGAAGAACAGATCAGCATCCATAAGCATCAGTTTAACTCTGACAGTGCCAGGCCTACAAGTTTAATCCTGCCAGAGTACAAACAATGAGGGAAAGACAAGCTTCCCTCAAAGACCTACTGATTTCAGGGATCTGATTTCAGTGTGGCCTGTATTTGATGCCATTTGATGAACATTTAGAGAACAATAAGTAAATCTCACCCCGTGGTGTGAGGTAAATCTACCCAGACTGCCAATCACATTGCAAATACTTACAGATCATGGTAAGCATATACAGTATTATTTTAATAAAGAGTATAAAGCCACAGCAATCTATTGAACATTGCAGGAAAACCAGTTTTGCCTTTCTGTAGAACACAGGATTCCAGGAAATTCCAGTCAAAAAACAAAGTTGGCCCATAAGTTAAATTACACCAGTAAATTAGAGAGTAAAAATGTGCAAGTGATAACTAATCCTTATCAAATGAGTCAGAGAAACACTGATAGGCAGGCACAGATAATCAAAGAACAGGGAATATGACATTTTTATGGATGATTGTCAATCATTTTCTTTTTCAATAATGATGCACAACACTAATAACAGTTTAGGAGACTGAGCAAAGTTTAGGATTCTTAACACCTTCAAAGATCAAGACAATGTTACTGCAAGAAAAAATGACAAACATCATTATGTAAAATTCTTTAAATGCTTAAGCTAACTGAAATTCAGTTAAACTTGTATTTCATTATGTACAAAATGACAAGGACTATACTGAGTTCAAAAACATTTCAGATTTCAACAAGCTTGAATAAGACTTGCACATGTATTTCATCAGCTGGTACAAAGACAAAAAGAATCATTACATCAAGTAACCATAATTTGTTCTCAACAGCAATTTCCATACATTGGTGTGCCCATTTAGTGCCCATCTGTCAGAAACAAAAGTAAGCAAGCTGAACAAACTAAACCCATGCACCAACACAAGTCAAAACCATTAAACATAAGAAATAATATGGAACAATATTTTAAAATATATATTATATGAACAATAAGAATGATATTAAATGTTCTATGAGCCACACTGGATTGCACGGTCTTTGAGGCAAGGACCATCCTTTACATTGTATAAATATATAACACAATGTGGGGCATCATATGCCATACAATGCCTAATGTTGTTATGAAAGCAACTTTAAATAATAAACCTGCTGCAAGCTCAAGTACCTGCAAATGTAAAATTAATAAAGCATAAAGAATATGCTTTTCATTAATTACACGATTGTCTCCTCTCTCTATAGGTAGTCATAATACAATATAAGCAATGACAAATTTTACTTCAAAATTACTGAGCATGTTATCATGATGAAGCAGATCTGCTTTGAACAGCAAAGCCATAGCCTAGTAAAACTCAGACTTAAGTCTGAAGCTGCAGTAATTAACCTACTTCACCCTATCCAACCCCCAAATCCTAACATTCAGCCCCTGAGGAATCAAAATTTAATTCTCAATGAACAAAAGTTGCCAGGGATAATTCTACAGACCTTAAGGATTTGTCTATACTGCAGGCAGAACCAGGACCGTATTATAGCACAGGCACAACCACATCAGATTTTAGCTTGGTAGGGGAATGGGCACGGAGCTTAGCACGCCAAGGTAAGCACTAACACAGCTAGCCCATCGAGCACCAAGCCACTGCAGCTACCAGCGCTTGTACTAGATAATTCTGAAACACACCTGGGTACACCTACATTATTTTTTGCCCCTGCAGGTGACACAAAATCCAGTTACGCACAAAGTCCGATTACAGACATGCTACAAAAGCAGATTTTTTACAATAAGGTTCATAACAAAATAATACCCAATACATAAATAGCAATGAGGAAAACTGAAAGTATTTAACACTCAGTTTTTAGAGAAGTCACCTCTAGAACCTGTAGTGACACCCTCTGAAAGGCAAATATATAATATAAAAAACCTTAAAGTTTTAATAGGCAAAAGAACTCCCAAATTTAACGTGAATTTCAGAACCACTGGCAGCCTTTCCTGTCCTGGGAAGATTTTGTTTTTCTGTACGCTGTATAAGCTACGAACAGGGTGTTGAGAGACCTGCAGTTGTACTATCAAGTATATACTGAAAAGAACATAACATCAGGTACTTAACATTATAGAAACAGCTGTCACCACTTAACACCTACATTTCAAACCTGAAAATTAATCACCAATGGAGGAAGTCCACTCTCTCCCCCTAAGCCAAGAGCCCTCAAAGAAACCATTCTTACTTCTCAAAGTTTTTTAGCTGATGCAAGAAATGGACAGAGATAACTTGCATTTTGTCAACCTCTCACCACATATTCCAATTCTACCTTTGCTGTTCATATTTTTCAGGTAGCAGAATGAGCTACCTTTTGTGAATTTTGGGGGATTGACATGAACAAGAACAGTTAGTAAAAGCTACATATGAATTAATTTACCATGTTGAAACTGGCAAAAATCACAAACAGCAAAAACACTGACACTAGATGGGCAATATTATCTTCCCCACCCCCTTCTCTAGCCTGGCAGCTTTCTTTTTTTAAAGAACTATGAAAGCTAGAATTATTTTTTTGTTTCTGATAGAAGATCAACCTATAGAAATTGATGACATCTGGAATACTTTCCATTTGCCACTAGAACCTAATTTAAAAATTCCTCTGAATATCAGCCAGATAACCGTACACAAACTCCTCCTTATGCATTTCATAATCTGACTAGAACAAGAGTTCCTGTTACCCTGTCAACGTTCTTCAAATTTCAAAATATTTGCTTTTAAAGAAGGCTAATTGCTGGACAGCCATATATTGATGACAGGGAGAAGAGACTCCTGAAAGTAACTCAAACCCCAGGCACAGTTTAATAGCAGAATGCAGAATAAAGCCAAATACACTTTCTGTAAGATTTCTGTAACAGTCTGTGTTTCCTCTTTCCAATTTACTCCCTTGCTGATGTACTGGACTGGAGTTAAACACTCACATTTTGAATATACCGTATCATACAATACTCTGCAAACCTCAAATGGCTCCGATTTGACAATGATACCAACACATTACTATAGCACTTGACAAACGCGCGCTTTAGTAGATGCCAATAGACCGCTAATGTCCTTGAAACTACACCCTGAAGCATACATGCAGTTTTCTCACGAACGTTAGCTGCCATTGTTAGCGTGACAGCAGTCACTGATTAACTATCTTCTTTACCGGTGCAAAACGCTTGACTTTGAGAACAGCCTTTCAGTTTTACTGTTTTATTATTTAAGCAGCGCATTTCTTCCACCGTGACGGTATCGGCCACGCTAGGTATCGCACACACGCCAGTGCCGGTACTTCGCTCTATTCAGAGCGGGGTTTAGCATGTGCTCTGTGCCACCTGCGAAACACGATTACGGGCGATTAAAAAAACAGCAATTTTTGAAGCGCGAAGACGGAAGCGGGCGCCGCTTTCACGCCAGCCCCTGCGGTTCCTCGGCCCAAACCGCGCACGCCGCCCCACACTCAGGGAACCGAACCGAACCGAACGCACCCGGCCCCGGCCCCCCCAACGCCGCCACAGGAGCGC